TATTACTTTATCAAAATAGATTTTGATATACCAAAACCATCTATTGTAATGTATCCATTGTTCAATGGATAAGGAAAAGAATTATTTATTTGAATTTGAAGTTTTCCTTGTTTTCCAATTTCGATAACGTCGTTTTCAAGAAACTGAATAAAAATAGAAGAATTTTCACTAGTATGATATTTTTGTTTTTGTCTTACCAATTGCATTAGATCATTTTCTGCATTTAAGATATATTTTTCTCTTTGATAAATTTGTCCTGTCTCTCTAACAACCACATGTATATTTAATTTCAGTAAACTATCAAAGCATCCTAACCATACTTGATGATTTTCTGCTACTTTCATGGGTATATTCTTATCTATAGTGGAACATAAATATGATGATTGATGATATATTTAACTCACGATCATTATTATCAAGATGATAAATTTCTGTAAATGATTGAATTGGAGTTTGTAAACTTATGTTGTATATATCTAGATTTGTATTGTTAGGAATATATCGATCTTCATATGATGTCTGATTTAGATTTTTTGATGTAGATTTTATTTCTTCAATAGGATTAATTTTCAATAATGTTAAGGTTGCAGTTAATGTTCGATGTTTATTTGATAGATTATTTGTTTTAAGAATTAAATGAAGATTATCACCAAACTAAATACATATATTTGTAGAAAACTATAAATAATTGAAAGAATTTACTTTCAAACTGTCAGGAATTTCCATTTCAATATTAACATCATGATTAAAAGGTGTTTGATTAGATGCTATTTAAATCAAAGATAAAAATTTTTTAAATTGATTTTCTTTCTCGCATACTTTTATTTAATTTGTAATTGCTTGTAATATCTTCATATTCATTTTCTTTTTTCAATGATTTTGTAATAATTTTTGTATTAATCATATTTTCTTCAATATCTATGTGATAAATGAATAAAACATAGCATTTAATGTTGACAGTAAATAATTAGAAATGGCTTAATTATTCAAGTATAGAAAATAGTCAGCAACTACTAATACAAACTCTTACAGTTAGATTAATAAAACGAATAAATAAACACATCATTTTTTAGGGATATCATAATATCCGTAACTCAGGTATCGAGATCACAACATAGCTATTAGAATATTCTCTTAATGAATTCGTGATACTCATATGCTGCTAAATTAACGATTTTGAGTCAGTATAATGTAACAAGATGGATACTCAAATCGATAGCTATATATCTATTGCGTTGAAGATTTTGCGTGAATTTGGTATAAGGAATTGGATATCTGCTTTTCTAGATATCGTAATTTGTAGTTCGTCGTTACTCAATGTGTGGATATTATGGTATCTCGGTAATTTTAATATTAATTTACATTAATCATTAGTATTATATATCTTATATAATAATTATTATTGATTCAAGAGAAAAATATATAGTTAAAATTAGATAATCAACTACCAGCAAGAAGTCTAATATTCAACTTAAAATAAATTCTTACTTCTTAATTTTCGATCTCCATTTGGATAAACAAGCCAATAGGTTTTATTTCCATTCAATATACTATATATATCAATAGTATCCCATTTTAAACCTGATATACCAGACTTCAAAGCAGCTACTGAGCATGGACCGATGCGTCGAATTTCTAAATCAAAATAGATTTTTACTTTGAAACATAATTTAGAATTTTCATTTACTTGTATTGTAATCAATAGAAGATGAATCTATTACTTGCCATCCTGAATAATATACTGGTAAATCATCTCGACGTATCCAACATTCATTCCATAAATACCAAGGACTATAATAAATAATAAATTGAAAACAAAAATTCGAATTTAAAATTGTTCTTACTAACCGAGTTAATTTTGAGTTAACTACTACAATTGGTTGTTGTCTTGTATTCCAATTTATATCAATATTTTCTTGTTCTTGAGTTTGACAAATTGCATTATAAACAGTAACAATACGACATGGAATACCTAAGGATCGACATAAACTACAAAATACAGCAGCATGTTGCCAATTACTACCACATGGAATTTGTTGATCATTTAATATCAAACATTGTTTTAAAATAGCTGGACTACTTGCATATTGATTTTCTTGACATAAAGATGAATGACTATCCAATAATGATGAAAATATTCCATTATGTGTTCCAACATCTGAACAAATTTTTGATGAAAGAATACGAAGAATTAAAGATATATCGATATGATATTCTATTGATAAATATATTTCTTTAAGAAGAGCAAGAGCTGTAAGTAATACAATTCTTTCAAATTGTCCAAAATACCATGGAATAGATTGAGGAATATCAGATGAGCCAAGATAAATTTGTCCATGTTCATTCAAAACATATTCTGCAATTTGATCAGATGATAATAATGCACATGAATCATTTTTATTCCATGGATTAAATAGAAAATAAATATCATTATCAAAATGAAATATTGAAACATCTTGTTTATTTATTAAATTTTTCGTGATCGAACAAATTTCTAGCAAAAGCTATATTAACAAAAAAGTAAAATTAATATTTTAAGAATATTTTATTTTATACTTACAGAATATTTTCCAATAGGAGTATCAGAAGAAGAGTTGATTTGAAAACAAATACGATTATTCTTTTGATCTTCTATGAAAAGTCTTTTTGCTGACCATCCATTTGATGAACTATTCAATGGAATTTTTACATTTGGAAAATTAGACCATGTTTGAGACTTGAAAATAACTGATAGATTATATTTATCAATATGAAAATCTTGATTAAATGTTATTGTAAATAAAAATGGTTGTCCTCGTCGAAGTATAAGACCTTGAATGTCATAATAAATTGTTGAATGTTCTTCCATATTTTTTTTCATATACATATCAATATCAATAGGAAGTAATTTTGTTGCTGAAAACAAACATTTCAAATTAACGGTAGGTGTTAAAATTTCACATATACATTAGATATTTATGCCTTTGATTATGTCAAATAATCTCGAAAATAAAATCATTATTAAAAATTTCAAATGAAAATATTAAAGAAAAAAGTTCATCTTCGAAGCAAAACCGAGTTCACATGTCTCTTCAACATAGTGATTTTTGATGATTTTTGAATAGAAGGAAAACAACAATTTTTAGTGATTTTTCATTACCATGACACGATTGTTAAGCAAAATAAATGTAACATTCAAAATTAGCATCAAAAACTACATGGAGTCAAATACAATTTGGAGAAATTTTTTTCCCACGGAAAGCTAACCCGTGGGGCCACCAGCAAAACTTCAATAAAATACAGCCGTGGAAGATCACGGATGGTTTTTTATAGGGAAAAAAATTTTCTAAAATGTATTTGACTCGATGTAGTTGCTGACACTAATTTCGAATGTCACATTTATTTTGCTTAATAATCCTGTAATGAGAATGAAAATCAATAAAAATTGTTTTTCTTTCTGTTAAAAATCATTAAAAATAACCATGTTGGAGAGAGATGTGAATTTGGTTTTCCTTCGATGATGAACTATTTTTCTTTAATATTTTTTTACCATGTTCTAGAGAATCAAAAGTCACATAACACATATAAAATTCAGAGTGACATTTTTTATTTCGAAAAATGGCAATATATAATATCAAAAACTTATCGTTATGAACTCACACATGGTAACCAGCACTAAATAATCCCAATAAATAGATGATATATATACTATTTGAAATAGCTCATTTTGTTCAGCTTTTCACATTCTATCTTTTGGTATCTTGCATGAAACAATTGCTGAAGTATAATTCTAATGGACGTTTATGGAATAATTTATGATTATTTTGTGATAGTAGATGCTTAGTGACAAAAATTCGATCTAAGTTAACTTGCTATAGAATATCTAAATGAGCTAAAAATTTTCGGTTTGATGATTTTAGATGGTGGACTTTCGAATGCACATAAAAAAAAGCAAAAACTTAAGTTTTGATCAATGCCTCGGTTCCTTGGTCCTCCCATCAACTTTCTCTTAAGAATCCTTTGTTAAATCTGTGATGAAAATTAAGTAATATTCTAACAACTTAATTATCAAGTATACTTTTCAATAAAAAGCAATCGATACTATTCTTACATATAAAAGATGAATAGGGAGATATTTTCTAAATTTTTATATATTCAAGATTCTTTGACATAATCATATATATTAATTTCTTTGTCTTGGATTAAACATTTTAATTAATTGTAACATGTTGTAAAATTTGCAAATTATTTTCTTTCCTAATTCAAGTATTGTAAAACAAGAAAAAAGAAATTTAGAGAGAAAACTTTAATTATGATGAATTTTATAGATAAAGAATAAATTTGTGTAATCTTACCCATCTCAGATGTATTATGTTTTTGATGATTTTATTTTGTGAAGTTTCTAAATTAATAATATTTCAATTTTTTGTATAAATTTATTAGAAGAATTCAGTATACTTGAAGAATAAGACAAAAACGTTTTATGTTAAGAATCAACCAATGGTCAAATCTAATTCGTATTACGTTGTGTAGAACCGTTTAATGTATATATTTGTTTATTAGTTGTGACACAGCTAATATATTTGTATAATGATTTATATATTCTCCTGTGATGTCATGCATAACAAGAGCATGCAAAATGATTAATAAAAATAAAACAACAAAAGACATGCATCTACCTTTTTCGTTTATATTTATATTACTTCGAGATATAATGACATACGTTGTGATCGAAATTAGATTTCTACTTCTAACTAGACGATCTTGAAATAGGTTTTCTTTTTGATCAACAAAATAAGTTAGAGAAAAATAAAACCGAGATTTCCTTTTTTACATGAATATATTTTTCTTGTAGACTATCCTTGACAATTACGAGTATGTCAGGTTATGTAACTTCGAGAATAAAATTTTAAATCTTACTAACAGAATCATTTAAGTTATTTATTTTAAGATTTAAGTCATCAAGCTACGATTTTATTTTTATATATAATGGTCTCGAGCAAGTTTATGAGTTACATCATATTTTTTTTTTGTTTATGTTATTGCTACAATTGATGATGATTTTGCTATTGACAATGTACTAATTAATGAATACGAAACAACATCGTCAGAAAATCGTTTTATCCAATCAACTATTTCAGTATTGATACTGTAGTCGAAAGTAATTTGATTATTATCTTTATCATTAACTAAATCGTCATTTGACTCAACAACTGGAATCGAAAGATTTTCTTTATGAATCATTCCAGCTTGATGGACGATTTTTCAAAAAAAAAAACGTAGCATCACAATGAAATTGTTGTACACACATTAATTTGTAAGGAGTCCAAGTAAAAAAAAAATTTTTTTGTTTTGCTCAACCAAATGTCATTTCAAGTAAAGTGAATATTCAAATACTTATCTAATATTTGTGAAACAAATATTCTGAAATAAAAAGAAAGTTTTTGATATTCTAATTATGTCCAATGAATTCAAAATTGGACTATGTTTCAACTTCATCTACAATATGTATACATATATAGATTTTTCTTCTTTTTGTTGAATGTGTTTATAAAAATGTTTAATTTCATAAAATAAAAAAAGACAATGTGTAAATTATTTCTATATGACCTATGTAGTGATCAGTTTTTTTTTCTCAGCATTATTTTGAATACAAACTAATTAGTCAAGAAAAAACAAAGAATCATATCACAACTAAAGTTAGTTTTTTCAATATGTGCTCAAGTGAATGAGGTATGGCAGAAACTTATAAGCAGGAATCCGGTGATTGGATACGATTAGCAGGTTTCTACTTCCAAGTTCCTACCATTTTATGGCTGAAAGCAATGTCTTTCCTGTGTACATATTTTAAGTCTTTCTTAAATGTGAGAATACAGATAAATCGGTTTGTTTAATTTCTTTTTACATTTATTAATGAAGAGACTTCCAATAAAAGTTTGTTTAGATGCTTCGAATTTGTTTTTTTCGAATAATATCATTAAATTTTGAAAACAAAAAAAGTAATTTTCTATCTCTATTAATAGCTACTATGAAATCAAGCACGGTTAATTTTAGAAATAAAGATGTGTCCAAATGTATTGATTTTACAATAAATAATTTTATGCATCATCAACTAATCATTCTCACGAAGAAAAAAAAAGTGTCTCATTAACATCATATTTTCACGTTTGTTTTGAATAGTTCGAATGAAACTAACGGACTGTCATAACACAACGCAATTGAGGTTAACAATCATTATATTACAAACTTTAATTTTGCTTTGATAGACAATAATGATACGGCTTGTTGATCATAGCAATTTCTTTTTCGAATAGTGCATACCATGTGATACAGTTTGTATTACGATTTTGTTTTCATCCGTTTCTTAATGAAGTATAGATATAAACAGATGCTTCTTTTGGCAATGATGTGTGACGATTCATTCTTACAAATAATATTATTCGTCAATAAATAAATAAAAAATGAAACGAATTTGTTTTTATTGTTGTAATATGTATCTAATTCGATCGATGAAATCGAATTGAATCCTGACACTTAAAAACTCATGACTTTATATCAAAAGTACGAAAAAAAAATTGATGTTTCGAATAATGAAATGGACATTTTAATCAACGAAATTAAAATACGTTAATTTTAACTTCTGTTTCATTATACAGTAAATAAGAAAAATTTTCTTAGTCTTTTTTTTTTTGAATGAAATATGTGTAATGCATAATGATATTTATATTTAACAGATTATTGAAGAGTAATCATCTAAATCTTTTTTTTATCTATAAAAAGAAGCCAAATATTTTATCATGTCTTAATTTCGTTATACTTTTTACTGTTGACATGATTTATTGATGAATATAAATAAGTGAAAACATGAATGAGATATAAGACGATGCGACCGTACTATTTTTATATTCAGTCTTGCTGTTATAGATAAGCAGAAGAAACTTGTCTTTTTATAAAAAATCAGACAACATGAATTGTTAAGCAAATCCATATAATCGAACTTGATGCCATTCAAAATATGATCATGAATAACACATAGAAATTGATATTACTTAGAAAAAAATAATTTGAAAAAAAAAAAAACAATAAGAAATAAAACGAATAAATCTATTTAAAAATTTGTAGATGATTTATTAATTAATAAAGCTAACATTGTAACAAGAAAACAAATACCAATAATCGTAGTAAAAATATTCATTATTAATGTTCTTTGTGAAATTTTTAATGATGCATCATAATCTTTATTACGTTTATGTTCACGTACACGTACAGATAAAATAACACAAATAACACCTAAGACAAAAAAAAGAATAAAATTTCCAATTGACCATAATAAATAATCTGATATATTCATAAGATCACGTTTATTTTGAGATAATTTTAGATTTGTATGAAATATTTCAGATTCATAATATTCGGTATTACTTTGTGGTAGCCACATAAAACCTGTTCGTCTTTCTAAATATGGTTCTAGTTCATTAATTTCACGTTTTTCCATTCGTCCAACACCTCTATTCAAATGAAAAAAATAATTTAATTTTTATTTTTAATTTTTTTTTTTGAATGAAATTTAATATACTTCTCAATTCGATAGCTAGTCAATTGTTGTCCGTTACGCATCTCTTTTTTAAATTTCAAATGAAAAAATTAAGAAGGAAAATAAATATAATTGTATATGAAGAGTTTAGGTTTTTTTTTTGATGTTGTATGTGGTTTTTTTTATACAAGATAAAAAGAAAACTAACACGTTGTCGCAAAAAATACATTTTTTTTTTGCTATTTGTTATTGACCTTAAAAGAAGATAAATTCTTTTGTTTGTAGCATAAAAAATAATCGCTTAAGTTGTCTTTTTTTTTTTTTGTTTTATGACATTTACTCATTTAGGACCACTTGTTGATGAGTATAATAATAAAATCAATACATATTTAACATCATAGGATAACAATTAAAAGGTCCATAGAGTATATTCGATTATAGATTTTTACGAATGTTTTTGATCTTATAAGTGTATTATACTTTAAATTGAAGTTAATCTCACTGTGATTATTGCTATTTTCGAATAGACTCCTAGCACTGAACTCGTGTATCATCGTGTTATGCGCTACAAGGAAAAGTACAAGTAAAATATGTTCTTTTACTGTATGTTACCCTCAAATACATCGTCTAAAAATAATGAGGTCAATGCGCAAATTACTAGGATTAAAATTCCTCAATTGTTGAAAAAAAAATAGTAAAAAAAGAAAGTAAACTTAACAAAAAAAATACAATGAGAATTTGATTTCAATTGAAGATAATGAAAATATGTTGAGAAAAAGATCAGTATTGATCTTGTGATAAGTATTTTGATTCTTTTTTGCAGTGCCCAGGATAATTCATTTTATCTAATATGGATTTGATTAAAAATGACCTTAGTTGTCAATCACGAAATGGACTTTTCCTTGTTAGATATAGCATGATGACACACGTGTTCAATGTTAGCAGTTTAATAAAATTTCGAAAAGTAGTTATAAACATTTGGTCTTATTCGTTTTCATGTAATATAAACTTTTACTTTACCTTTTAAATTGCTTCTTTACCGTTTATGACACAAAGTGAATTTGTTGAATAGATTATTCATATCGTTTGATGAGTACTCTATTCTCTCCGTTTTTTCTCTTTCTTTACTCTTTCTCTCTTTTGTTGCACATTGTTCATAGGTCAAGATTAACATTTTGACGAAAGATAAACCTAATGGATCAATTCTCAATTCCTCCTCTGCTCTTTTTTTTTTGTATTTTATATGCAATAGATAAGAAAGTTTCAATGTTATAACTGTTGTTCTAATAATAATTGTTGTATAGTCCCTAATTAAAATCGTTAACGTTGACGTTTAATAGAGCATAACAAGAAAAACACAAACAACACATTTTGATAGGCAATGAAAAATATTGAAAAACAAAATAAAATAAAGTTTGCATTAATGCAAATTAAGCTTTGTCATTTTGATTTATTAATGATTGTGATTTATCATCGCCAGTTGCCGATCTTGAACTTTCGCCATTTTCAATGGTAAGATTTTTATCAACTTTTTGTACTAATTCAGACACATCTGTTGTAGTTGGTCGTTGTCCTTTCTGTCCAGATGGCTTTTCTTGAAAGAAGAAAACAATTTGTAAATAAAAATAAGTTCGCAAGAAATAATTTTCAAAAATATCTATGGATATTTGCTATATCGAAGGATAATAATTATTATCTCAAAACTAGAAGTGAATCAGTACTAATATTGTGATAGTCCTAAATTAGTGTCTAGAAGCAACAACTGATATACGGACAAATCGGGACATACTTATTTTTCATTTGACTTTGATTGTTCGTAAGGGTTATTTTTCTGACGAGGGAATCCCACCAAGTGATTGAAAGCTTTTAAAATGATATTTTGTTCATAGATAGGATCTGATGAGACTAAAAAAACCCCAAAAAGGATGACCTCACATAGGCCTTCCTTCCGGAACTATGACCGATTTACTAGGTTTTCGGCCCATGATAACGTATTGAGACAAAAATCGAATGACGAAATTTTGCCCATATGTGGATCCCATAGTCCTTAGTATGTGCTAAAAATTTCAATCAAAACGGATCTTTCTTTCTCAAGATAATGAATATATAAGAAAAATTGTTTTTTCTAAGTTCTCTATGAAATGTGAACACTTCTTTCCAATTCATTATCTTAAGAAAAAAAGATCCGTTTTCGTTGAAACTTTTAGCGCATACTAAGGACCATGGAACCTACATATGAGCAACATTTCATCATTCGATTTTTGTTTAAATACATTACCATAGGCCGAAAATCCAGTAAACCGGTCATAACTCCAGAAGGACGGTCTATGGGGACTTATCCTTTTAGGCTTTTTCTAGTCTCATCAGTTCCTACCTATGGACAAAATATCACTTCAAAAGCTTTTAATCACTTGGTGGGGTTCCCTCGTAAGTAATTAGCGAATATCTTTCTAATCATACGAGACAAAAAAAAATCTGAAAACTTCAGCATAGATTCTACGGTATGAACCGGATCTATGATGCGATCTTCAACAAGATTGTACTCCAATTTTCTAGAAATTCTGAAGAAAAATTTACACCATTTAGAATTGGTTTCGAACTTCTCATTCGATTAAAAGAACATTTTTTTTTTCGGTTGTATATTCATACTTCATTACGTCGCGAACTCTAGTTTTTCTTACTTATAACTCCTTTGAATATAGATTTCTAGCGTTGATTTTTTCAGAGTATCTAATATACAAAAATTAACCCTAAGAAAATTTGTTATCCCGAAATAAACGTGTTTTTGTTATACGAAGTCATATTGCTAACAATGATTTTGCTCGAGCACATTAAAAAAATTTACTTATTTGAATAGCTGTTTTCTAATAACGAGTAAATGATAAATGTTCGATTTAAATCATACGAAACATAAGTTTATCGATGATGTCTTATCTTTTGTTTCTAAAATATTATCTCTCATTCTAGTTCATTCGAGTTGTTGATCATAACATGATCTTCTACTATCACACTCATAATCACGACTACAAATCGTTTCTCATGAATTTACTCTTCTTCTGTTGTACTGGAACTGGTGGTGGATAAGCATTTAATGTTAATTTTTGCATGTCTTCAGATTCAAATTCTTTTCGAATTGGCTCAAGTAATCGATTGAGATATATTTCAACACCATTCTTAAGATCACCTGGATGTACTTCCTACAAAAGAAAAAACAGAAGATCATTTAAGATCAACTGTCAAATTTTTATCGTACCTGTTTAGCAAAACTTTCTTCTAATTGAGTATAATTACTAAAGGGCATTGGTCCACCATATTGAGCTGATCGTGGAAGTACTAGATCTTTACAAAAAGAAAATGAAATTATTTTTACATTTTCAAATTATTTAAAAATTGCTTTGACTAACTTTCATCCTTGAGTAATGGAAAAATAACACTTTTACAAAATGCAAGTACACCATTATTTTCAATATTTCCTGGTTCACAAAAAGCTCTCTTAAGTTTCTTTTTAACTTGTTCTGGTGCATCGAGTAAATCGATTTTACTCTCTTCAACACTTGCACTCATTTTTTCACCAGTTAAGCCAGGAACTAAATAATAAAATAATGATTAGAAGTTGACAAATTTAGTTCAGATTACAAGAACAGTTCTGTTGATAGGAACTAAAGAAGAAAATCTACTAACTGACAAATTATTTTTGATTTTAGACTATGTACATTATGTACAACCAAATGAATTATAAATATGCTGAAAAGAGTTCGTTCTATTAGGTTATTCCTACGGAGATACTGCACTTTTATGATATTTTTTAAATGAATACCATGGTTAGGGAGCTGCAGGTTCATAGTTATGCGAACCCGGATCCGCAGCTCTTTAGTCTTGATCCTCCTCGGAAACATCAGAAAAACTAATTCGAATTTTAACTTAAAACTTTGCACAAACATAGGCCTTAACAAAAGTAGTTTATTGTGAAAATTTCAGATCTTTTCATTGTTTCTATACTAAGAGACAGCTTGTATCTTTTACGTCGCTCAGATATCCTGATCAGGGCTGGAATCCGGTTGGAAAATGATAAACCGGTCCGGTCTGGCTGGTTGGAATCATATATTCAACCAGCGAAAAACTGATTTTTAGAAAAAATGGTTCCAAATATGAAATAATTTAGTAGTACATGTAAAAGATACTTATCATAATGAATCTTTTTAAAGAGAATCTCAGAATAAATTATTAAAATAACATATGTTTTTAAGCATTTTCTTTACGTATCTTAGTATATTGAGGGATTCCTACCATAAAAATGTAGTATCTCCGCAGCAATAAGTTAAGGACACGAGTTCTTTTCAAAATAGCTATAGGTTAATTTGAGTCTACATAATGTGTGTAGTCTCGACTGAAAAATGATCTGAACTTTGAACTAAGGATATGATCGATAAATATTTACCCATTGGATTCATTAAATGTATACGTTTTGCATAACCAATACTTGGTAAATTCTAAATAAAATTTAGAAAATAATACATATTTAGAAAACAAAACAAACTTCTTCGGCAAATGTAAAAATTTTTCGTTGATCAACACCACCAAATTGAGCATCAACTTTTAAATATTCTTCATCAAGAGCCTATATAAAAAAAAAACAAAAACAGAAATATTATCTTATTATTATCAATTAAATTACATACTTGTAAACCTGGATAGAGTAAACCACTAAGTAATGGTGAAGCAACTTGTTTAACAACTTCTGCACCAGCTTTTTTAGCATCATGTTCTGTAACAACAGATGATAAACGATAAAGATCAAGTGTATATTCACGAGATAATTGATAATCAGTTCCTCGAATAAATTTTAATTTTTCAAGTGGTACACCAATAGATTTTAACATTGCTTTAATTATATGTTCATAATAAACAGTACGATGACCTAATAATTCCCATGGTGCTTTCATATTATCCAAAAAAGCATGAAGATCAGCAAAAAGTATTGTTACCTTAAAAAGTAAAAACAAAACAAAAAAAAAATATTTTTAATTATATTAGAAAATCAACTTTTACTTCACAACCAGCATGTAGAAAATCAGCTATTTTA